GAGCGAAGGCATTAGCCCCCTTGTTGCGCGCTCACAAGTCCCGGCAATAGTACTACTCTTGTGATTAGAGGCCCTGCAGATTTACAAAGGAAAGAATTTCTATGAGCACCAGTTGCCATCCCTGCTTTTGAGTGATGTGTCGATTCACTAATACAAATAGAGAGATAAGAAAAAATGGGAGCGTTCCTAAACTTTTCGTGTAGTTGTTTCCTACCCCGCACTCAAACGTAGACGGATGTGGATCAACTAGATAAGGTGGCTTCAACAACAAACACCTAGCGCGCGACGCTACTTGGCCAGCTGAGCAGTTGCACTATGCCCTATTGTTCCCAACATGAGGTTTTGGAAATCAAGTGAATATAAGAGCTAGTTCAGTCTGCTTGTGAAATGCCTCACCAATGAACCAGGGTGGCACATCGACCAATCAACTATCGCTGCCACATTTTCACCTCTCCAGAGAATATTCGCCGTCCATAAGTCACCGTGCACGAATGTTCGAGGAACTCCTGTAAAAGGGAAGCTTCAATAGCGAATAGACAGGGTTTTGAAACACTATCGACATTTTTTTTAATCGGTGGCAATCGTCGGAGTCAGATTTTCAAGTTATGCAGAACTTATTACAATGGTTTGAGTTGGCCACTTTCGCAGCTTATTGCACAGCTCAGCTTCCCTTCGATGATTTGGAATAGAGGTGCATTACATTGCGCATCCGAAAGAAACCGGAGAGAGTGGCTCACTGAGCTGATGCGGAAGGGGCCCGCTCTATTTTTTTTTTGAAATCCTCGCAGCTCTTAAAGGAATCTTCCGCGGAAAAAGCTCCGCCTCCATTACCACAGAAAAACGATACCCCTTAGGCCCCTAGCCTCATGAGCATAGCAAAAAGAACGGAACATAAGCGTTAGTTTCGATAATACTAATCCTACACACAAGACAAAATGATCACTCTTTCCGTGGAAGATTCCTTTAAGGTATCGTTTTCTGTGGTAATGAGGCGGAGCTTTTTCCGTGGAAGATTCCTTTAAGATGTTACCAAAGCTAGTCTTCTGATTTGTTACTGTTATTCCTAAACAGTATTCCATTTTCCGCTCCTTAGACCTCCTACACACATTTTTTCTACTAAAAAATTGCCAGAATTTCATGGATCCTCCTTCTCGAAAGGCGCCATGAATTCGACTTCCAATGCTGATCCTCTTGAACACATGTTTGGTCTACGCAATGACATACCAAAATTCGCTTTGAGTTTTTACTTCTAGAACACTCTGATCATGAAAAGCTTGTAAGATTCATAATTGACCTGCCTTCGTTCTCGTAGTAACGTACTTCATCCAGAAACCACTTTTGATTCCGAGTGTAATTGTCATGCAGGAGTGCAAGTCCTTGTTTTAGTAGCGGACTCATCGATTTCAGAAGCTCACAAATCATTTGGAACATTGCCACGAATTTGTTGTAGCTTTCATCTGCCCCCTAGATCGTTGTATTTTTTGGATTCAATAGTTAGATTTCAACAACAAATTTCATATATAATAATAAAAACCAATGAGCCAGATTTTATGCTTCCGTTTAGAAATGATTGTTTTCAAAATCTAAAAGGGTTTTCCTTTTTCACGTCTTTCCACTGAACCGAAGTCGCATGCTCAAAGAAAGGTGCATGCAATGCTCCCTAGAAGATTTTCGCTTTTTGAACGGGTCTGGTTCATATCGTTCGACACTAGATGAGTGAATTAAACATTACCCACAGCGG